CCCTTCAGGGCCCTCTTCTTGACCCCTCGATGTAGGTCACCTCACATTACCCTGATCATTGGATACTGGAATTTTCCAGTCCCGACCGACGAGAAGGGTCGCTACCGATTTTGATTCAAATTTCGGAATCGGCCGCGAGCGATTTGCTTCAAAATCGGTCGCGACCGATCGGTCGCGACCAGTCGGTCGCGGAGCGCCGATCGGTCGCTGCCGATCGCGACCGAGCAAAGAGCGGCATCCAATGACCTGGCCTCCACCCAGGCGAGGACCTGCACGCTGTGCTTCGCTCCGTCTTCGTCCTGCCCCGCCCGCTGCCCTGCGCCTGCCTGCCGGAACGGAAGCCAAACCACGGCCGAAGCCCAGCAGCTCGGCGCTGATGCCCAGCCCTGGCACCACCCGCCCGATCTCGGCCAGGCCCCCGCACAGGCAGACGGGCCAAGTCCGGCCCCGAGAAAACGGCCCGAGACAGCCCCCAAAAAGGCGCCCGAGAGACCTCCAAGAGACGGCGTCGGCGAGGTCCAAACAGCGCTCCAAGAGGTCCAAGGATTGCCGAAGAGACCTCCTCCTTCTCCTTCTCCTCCTCCTCCTCCTCCTCCTCCCCTCTTCATCCTCCCCCAAGAGCGCCCAAGAGGGCCCGAAGACGGGCCAAAGAGTGCTCTGAGAGGGCCCGATGTGGCTTCAAGACAGGCCGAAGAGGCACGGGTGCGCAGCACACATCGAGAGGTCTCGGGCCGAGCAAGCCCGCCCGCGGCTTTTTGTCGGTGCCCTGCCTGCGCCAGCTGGTGAACCTGTAGGAGGCCACGTGCGAACCCTACCCCACCACCCTCCAGGGAGGAGGAGGAGGAGGGAAAGGAGAAGGAGGAGGGAAAGGATGAGGCGGGAGAGGAGGCGGGAGAGGAGGAGGAGGAGGAGGAGGAGGAGGAGGAGGAGGAGAGGAGGAGGAGGAGGAGGAGGAGGATGAGGAGGAGGGAGGGGAGGGGAGGAGGGGGAGGAGAACGAGGAGGAGGAGGAGGAGAACGAGGAGAGGAGAGAACGAGGAGGAGGAGGAGGAGGAGGAGGAGGAGGTGGAGGAGGAGGAGGAGGAGGAGGAGGAGGAGGAGGAGGGGGGGGGAAGGGAGGGGGAGGGGAAGGGAGAGGACCAGAGGAGCTGGGGTTCACTTCGCTCGGGAGGTCCCGAACGGAGCGAACCCCACTTCCCCCCTCAGAAACCGTGGGTTGGTGGGGAAGGGTTCGCGTGCGGCATCCTAACCTGGGCGTCGGTCCTCCGCACAGCGGGGTGCCCCCCACAGGGCCCCTGGCAGCCACGCTGGGACTGTGCTTAGCCTGGTGGTTTGCACGAGGGCACAGAACCCAACGCGGCGCGGATGAAAACTAGCCTACAAAAGACACTCGTGGTACCAGCTTGTACTCGCTGACACAAGCTCAGGGTGAAAGAGAGGAGGAACAAGACACGCGAACACGCAGGGTAAGTCGAGCGTCAAAGCTGCTAAGAAACACCGCCTGCCGAACGTTTTGCCAGATGTGCACGCGCGAACATGCATGTTACACATACGCACTGTGTTCTAGTGCGACTGCCTTCGAGAATACACGACAAGCGTTTAGAATGATACGTGCACGTACGAATTTACACTCACACGCTATTGTTCAATAAGGCGTTGCTCTCGTGAAGCGCTGCGACACCCGCACGCACCGTGTGAGCAGCCAGGGCTCAAATTTGGGCCGATGCAGAGCTCGTACCAGCTCATGTTCTTGCGGGGAGAACCCGCACCAGACTGCGAAGAGTGATGATACACAGGCCCAACAACCCCCAGCCTTAGGTCGGGCATGTCCCCCAACAGTCAGATGTTGGGCGACATCTTAAACATACTCAAAAAATACCCCCCAATGACCAAACAATCATCAGCAAATCGTCCCCAGACTATTTTTCTAGTATTTTTGAATATGATATTCCTCCTGTAGAGGGACAGGCCCGAACTAACACAAGACTGGGAAGAGTGATGATACACATGCCCAAGAAACCCCAGCCCCCATCTTCTCTGACCGCGACCAATGAACTCAGCACCTACAGCGGGCTGATCGTGGAATCGGCGCCGCCCCCTTGTACAACAGCATCGGATGTCTGGCCAAGTTGCGATAGTACCAAAACAGCAACGACCAAGAGCGCAACACTGCCATTACGGTGACAGTCTGATGGGCAACCAGAGCGTTGATAGCTGCGCGAACTGAAAGAATCAACCAACAGTCCATTTGTAACGTTGCCCGGGCATTTTCAAGCGAAGATCCTCCGACGGCGCATGCTTTCCGCGAGGTGGGCCCGCGGAGACGTTGACCTCAGACAAAAGCGTAGGCAATCCAACCGTCGCTATCTTGTTTGGCTACGCCCGGACCCGTGGGGAGATGCGGTAAAGGTGTGCTAACCCAGGTCGCCTACACGCCACCGGGTCAGCTCAAAGCACAATGCGACGAATGGGCCATAATTCGACAAGCACGTAACCGCCACCGCGATCTGCCGCGGCCCCCGCGTGTCGGGCCCCTTATCTGTCGTTCTGCTAGATTTCGCCCCTCGCGGACACAAACAACCCGTCTGCACCCTTGCGCTGGCCATACAATTGCAGACTTAGTGGCAGAAAGCAGCTCCAGAGCACAAAACAAAGCATGCTAAGAGCACGATGAAGAGTGGCACGTCGTACATAATGCTTTGGAACGTATTAGGAAGGAGGCCATCAAGAAGACGAGAAGGGGCACCATCACCGTAGCCGGAACACATACGGGAAGCCATGGAAGAGACAATCCAAGAAGCCATACGGGAAACCATACGAGATACCACGCAACCTCCCTCGACGCAGACCACGGGGGAGACGACACGGGAGACCATACGAGAGACCATGCTGGAGACTATGTGGAAGATCATACGGGAGCCCATGCGGGAGACCACTGGGAGGCCCTGCGGGAGTTGAGTTCATAACACATCAAGATAAGAAAATGGACGTCACTCGAATCGTTGTCTTCGACACCAACCCATGTGCAGATCGGAGGTTGAGCGAGACAGGGAAGCTCGCAGGAAACGCCCAGGGTCCAGGCAAGGTCCTCGATGTTCTCAAACGAAATCGGGAATCCATGAAGCGTGGCGTGCTTGCTCTCAAGCTGTCTTTTGTACGTGAGATCAGCCATACGGGAGAGCATGTGGGATACTATACGGGAGACCCTGCGGGATACTTTAGTAGTGGAAACAATTGGTTTTCAAAATGTTTGGTCTTTAGAAGCTCTGCGTGGCGACGCCCCCGTCGCCACGCGTGCCCTCTGCGTGTCTGCGGGGGCGCCGCCACGTAGAAGAACTGGATACCGAGAATTTGGGGCGTCGCTACGCACGCCCTCTGCGTGGCTGCGACCATGTGTTAAAAACCTAAAACCAGTTAAATTCACTAATCAAGTAACCCTCAAGAAAAACACCAGAAACCTCACAGAAAGCTCTGGCGGCGACCACGACTATAAGGGGAACCCTGCTGGAGAACATAAGAGAAACCATGCGGGAGACCATACGGGAAACGAAGAAGGAAATCGTGCGGGACAACAGCCGGGAGACTAGACGGGATGTCAGACGGGAAGCCATACGGGAGACCATGACACGGGAGACAATACGGGAAACCATGTGGCATACCATGCGGGAGACTCACGGGGGACCACAGAGGAGACTACAGCAGGAGATGGTGCAAAATGTCACTCGGGAGGCGGGAGACCGTGTGGGATACCATAGGCGAGACCACACGGGAGACCATGCACAGGGGCCCGACGGGAGACAGCACGGAAAGCCACACGGGCGAGCACAAGGGACGACCACGCGGACGGCCACGAGCCACCGATGCGGGACCCGGACAGGCGCGCGCCCCGCCCCGGAACAGAAGGTGCGACCCCTGCAGACATGCTGCCCGGGGAGAGCTGGAACTCCTGCTGGCGAGCTGCTGGGGAAAGGCGCATCAGCAGCTGTGCTAGCTGCATTGCCCTTTTGATCGGGAAGATCAGGTCCCAGGCTGCCCCCCCTCTCTTTCCTCGCTGCGCGGCTACTCCGAGGAGGAGGAGGAGGAGGAGGAGGAGGAGGAGTTTGGGTGACCCAAAAGGGGGTCCAGCTGAACGGGGTGGTGCAATATATTTGGGGCAATTGTATTGCAAATGTCTTGCGCCAGAGATTTGTATTGCATTGCATTGCAAATAATGCGTAACACGTGAAAATCAAGCAACGCATTTGCGCCCCGGAATCTACTGCACGTCCCAAGTGTATTGTAACCCCACAAATCTATGGCACCAGCCCCTTGTCGCTGGACCCCCGTTGGGGTCAACCAGAAGGAGGAGGATGAGGAGGCTCAGAACTTACCGCCGAGCTCCAGAGCGCATATGGGGCCCCAGCAGTAGAAGGCGGATGGCTCGCTGAGGGGGAGGATGTACGCGCGGGCACGCATTCTCGGCGACTGCGGCGCTCGAGGAGGCGAGACAGCAAGGGGGCGCGACATTCTGTGACTCCTCCGGGGCCCTATATCTTGCTCAATCCTGGATCTCACCCCGGAAGCGCCAGCACCGGCATCTCAAAGGTGGTGGAGTGGGCTCCAATTTCCGCCAGCTCCTTTTTCAACAGAAGGGAAAGAAACGGCTCCCCAACCCAAACTGTTGGAGGCCACTGTTGCCGACCAGTTCTAAACCAGTAGTCAGATGGGGATTTCACAGGACAACCGTTGCCTGGCATGGCTCGGTAACTGGGGCGACGGAAGAGTCCAAGAGGGCACGGCGGCCTGTCGACGCGGCAGCGCAGACGGATTAATCCTAACTGCTGGGAAACTTCGAATAATTGGCCGGCGCCAGCTGTCCGGCACCACTGCTGCCGCCGTCGAGACCGTCCATGCCGCCCTCGGCTCAGGGCACAGCGCTGCCCTGCCTTCTCCACGCGGGAAGTGGCCCGCGCCGGCTCCGGCGTGGGCCTGCAGAGCGCACAACAGAAACGCTCGGGCCCG